TCCCCCCTAGGATTCCAACACATTACTCTTACATAGTATTCAACGTACCCCACACAGTGGCCGATACCGCTTTTTTAAGGAAAAAATATAAATTTGAACGCAACAAACGAATGAGGACTTATCACCTATGCGGTGATCTTGGCATCGTGTTAATGGATTTTTAAATATGAATTCAGGACTTTAGACTTTGGAATGCAAAGGCGAAAATCAGAAATTATCAGACAGAGCAGACAATATGTTGCCTTTGCGATATAAGCATGGCCAGCTATTATTTTTGCCGCAAACGAACACCTTATATAGTCGATAGCGGTGTGCCGCCCCCCTCTGGTAGAGATCAAAATTCTAAGTGAGGCCGTTTGGGACGTTCTCTGTGTATGGTGTCCGACAAAGGTGAGAGTACCGTAATTGCGTCCTAAAAAGGTATTTCCGTAAGGAAGGCACTGATTTAATTTCGTGAGTAGTTGGACCCGCAGGCGTTAATTGCTATGACAACGAGAAAGTTATGGAGCAACCTACCGACAACCTGAGAAGCACTACTTAAGTAACAAGAAAACATAGATAATGTGCGGATTACTCAAGTCAGTTAAATCAATATTCTTAGGGCTAGGTTATAAGTGTTTCTCTCATCCATAGGGATAGCAGCTTTCAAAAATGTTCATCGTGAATGTTCACAAAAATTTTGTTATTTGTCCCCATCTAAGCAAGATGGGATGCATTTTCTGGTTTGAAAATATTGGCACAGGAAACAGTTTGATACAGGCCTCCAAAGCACAAAAATCCAACCAACAAAGATAAGGAAAATATTTTGAATATAATCAACAACAGTAAAATCGAACTGATGGTTTTATTACAATAACATACTTTCTGAGCGTCCTAGTTTAATGACAAAGTTTAGTGACAAAGTTCAAAGACAAATAGCGGATTTAGAAAGGGACGGAAAATCCCTTTAACAAAATATTAGAAGCAATATCAGGATAGCATGCACTCTATGTCACTTCGTGAAGTATGCCGAGACTGCACGCAACACGATGTAAGCACCCATTGACTTTGCTACTTCCTCCCCAGAAAAATATCAATTCAAAACTTTGACATTTCCTACACAAACACGAACGTTTACAGTGATCGGATGCGTGACATAAATACGCATTATTCTGTGTAACCAGACCAGAAATTGCTTTAAAATGTTGTAAGTAACGTTTGCTGAATTACCTTGGTCGTCAATTAGAATTGGAAACTTTCAGAAATTTTCCTTTCTTCATAGTAACACTGGCTTCAAAAAGCAGCCTGTAAAGACCAATCGTTTCACGAAATTCACTCAATTGCAAAATGTAACGGCTATACCTGGTAACTCAGATGAAGCCCAGCTGAGTCCTTTGGGTGATTGTACTGCACAAAACAGCCTCATATTTTAGTTAAACAACATTGGATGTATCGCGAGACATTTTGTCACCCAAATACAGCAAACATACACTTGTTAGCAAACGCTTTTATCCTTCTTACAGGCCTTATGTTAAAACATGAGGCGGCAAGATACTCAAAGGTTGCACCTGCTTGAAGAACCCGGACAAAACCGGTGGAGAATCGTCAAAACGTTTCCAGACCACTTGGAACCAATATGTCTTTTGTAAATGATCTTTCTATGGTACCGACAAAAAAATAAAAATGGTCATTTTTGATATGTTCAAATCGGAAAATAACGAATACGTGCAGCTGAATGCAAACAATTTTACTCTAGAACCAAAGGTTAAGTACTGCTCAGTCGCCCATCATACTTGTGCGCACAAACAAAAAAGATCAAATGGGCCTTTTATTTAACCAGAATTCTTTATTTATATGACCTGACAACCAGCCTATGCTCACCACTGAGAAGTTCATTTAATTTGCACAATTAAATTGCATGGGCTAAACTTGTTTTAGGCTGTAAAAGTGTCGTGATCTCTCATCATCATTAGCTTGTCCAAATTACATGATCCCCTTTAGTACATTATGAACAAAGCAGCTGCGCACAATAACGCCCATTTCACGCGGTAGGCGACCGTCAAGTGCGTAATACGAGAGTTTTGCTGCTTGGCGTATCCACAGTAGCCTCATTCAGAGCGCTACATTTAGAAAAGCACGTATTTTTTTTAAACTTCGTAAATTTCGAGCACAATGGTTAAAACAATTGTTGGCTTGGTGTTTTGCTTACCTCCTTACAATTATTTCCATTTGCTTTTTGGACTATCATTAAAAGCACATCGTCAATTATCGTTGAAAAATAATCTAATAGGGAATAAAAATCAACCAAAATTCCACGTGAGTATTTTCACCTATAATATTGAAAGTAGTCAGCGCTAGGGGACACTTGTGAACCGGGATGGTTTGCTGTTATTGAACGCCTTGTATAAAAACCTATGTCAAAAGCCAAAAGGCGAGTTACCGGTGTGAAAGGATTAGCTCTTTGGCCAAAGCTTCTACAAATCCAAAGGTGTTGTTTTATACATGCATCTAATTTAGATATGTGGTTTCCTGGCATCCAGGCAAGATCATCTGGGTCCCAAAATTCGCGTGAATAGACATCCTCCCTCAGTTAGCAAAAGCGGAGTTCCGGGCAAATGCCAGATCACCTGTAAGCTGCTAGCGACAATGTGAATACAAGGGAACAGAATCGACAGCAAAACGTAGGGAATCCCAGTAAAATAAAAAACAAACCCCAGCGTGGCCATACATACAGGTGTATATGTATATAATAGTATGTATGTATTGGGAATTCAGCCTTTCAACATAGGATTAAGTAACGGACGTCAGCGTGTCCGTTTGTGGATGCAGCTTTCGCGGAACGAATATTTAATTTCGCGAGAACCTGTGGATTGGAGTTAATAAAGGAAGGTTCGCTAAACAGGATGGCAGTCACCTTTCGGAATTTACTGGCTAGGCCAAGAGTGGTAGCAGTTCAATGAACTCTATCACTACAAATTAATTTTGCGCAAGTATTTCATAGATAAGTGATGCGGGTTGTAAATACCTGCGTTATCGCAAAAGAAGCCTTTTAAAACGGATCTGATGAAGCAAAATGTTTCCAATTAAATTTTATTGATGTTTTGCAGGTGCGTCGATTTTTCATAGCTTGAGGTATAGTAACTGACAACCGGTTAAAACTGATAGATTGGCGTATCGTCCGGCTTTCAACTGATATTTTATGGATGCCAACTGTCATTTTCCGGATTAAGTCTGCTCGTGCGGTAACATTTTTTCGTTTTGTACATCCATTTATGTAATTTCCACATTTACTAACGCTTTGTCGTAGACCTAACTAACAACGATGTACGCTCGTCTAAATCACCCTTTTATATCATTTTGAAAAGCTACGATATCTGACGCGAGATTCAGGGCTATGAAAGCAGACTAATTACGTTTACGCGGCTCACTTTTCAAACATTATCAGCTATGTGAAATCCCCAACTTCAGGATGGAAAACACAGCAAGCCACATGCAGCTACCGCCATGTACAAAGCTCATTTATAGTAAATGATTTGCGCTTGACCCAAGAGTTTTCGGTAAAGTTACTTGAATTATATTTGAAATTTGTTTTGTTTCTGCCGAGGCAAGGAACACAGCTCAATAAAACCAAACGTGCAGTTTTCAAGGGCGAGAATATTAGAAGCACCCCGTCAGGAGACAAACCATAAGTTGCTCTCCAACTCATTAGACATTTAAGGCGCGTTATTTTAGAAATAAAAAGTAGCAAGCCTGAATGTGTGTACCAATTTTCGAAAACATTTCCCAAGATTTCAACCAATCAAATTTCACGATGAGTGTTGGCGTAGGTGGCGCCAAAGACAGAAATAGCACGTGGCGCATAAATAGGCAACAACCTGGACATATAACCCATGACATTTTTCAAGTGTTTTTTTCGTATAAAACTTTCTATGCAAAAACATGACAATAAGATTGCTTCAAATATGCAGTTTCAAAAAACAAAATCATGCACTGAAAGTACCACAGGTTTGTAGGTACAATTGCAAGTCTAACAGCAGACGCTTATATTGCTTTCAAATATATTGTCCTTATGAGGTCAGAGCGATAGTAGACAGACTGAAATATACATCCATTTAAAATGGTTAGCAATTTTTGTTAACAAAACGAAATCGAGAAAAAACAGCTTGTGTGATTCTAGCACATTAATAAACAGGCATTGTAATATTAATCTAAAATCCTGCGTCCAGATACAAAAATGCTACTTGGCTGTACAAAATTTGTAACAATGGAATGAAGACAACCAAATGAAGACAACCAAAGAGCTATTAGATTTTGGATTTGACCAAGTTACGCTTTTTTGTTCTGTTCGGACCAGCATGTACGAAAGGGCTCTTCCTTTCTTTCGTGTTCTACGTCAAGCGGAGAAGGAAAACACGTTATAAACCCTTCTCTACAGTTGTCGAACATATAGGAAAACGATTAATTTATTTCTTTTACCAAGGCACTGCACTTCTCAAAAGCCAGTCGACAGTTGTCTGCAAGTGTTTTGTAAAACTGCATGGGGATTCCACTTTCCTTTATTTTGTCATGCAGGCGGAAAATAAGTGTTTTTATAGATGCCGTCCTCCGGCTGTGGATTTGAGCATTGGATTTATCTGCAAAACCTACTAAACTGCAACAAGTCATGCAACTCGAATGTCTCAGGAACTAAACACCTTTCTTTTACTACAAAGATTTTACCTCAAAAGATTTAAATTTAAATATATTTATATACGTATGACATAGATATAATTTATAAACAGTACGAAATAGCCAGCCAACAATATCTTCAATAAAACTATGGAAACCTAAAAATATCAAAATCCTATTATAGCTGTTATTTTTTTACTGCAGATTTTCTGCTCCCGGATGTTTACTTTCATCTGCAGTGGTAACATTGTACTTTAATTGAAGCGAAAAGCTAGTAAACAGTAACTTCACTATCATCCATACCGAGGAAAAATATAATTGAAGGAAATTATAACATTTTTTATTTTTTCCAGGAACCTCGGAAATACTGGACTCCGCGTCTCCGCTCTTGGCTTGGGTAAGTTTTACATGAATTTTCCCTCATCCGACTGTCTCAAGAATGACCAGAAGTTTCAAACCTTTGCAATTTCTGTCTGTGCTTATATAGTGTGCTTTCAGTAGTTGATCCTTAATTGCTATTTGCAGCTTCTGTCCAATCGACATATTCTTTCAACTAGCTGAATTTTTTAACTGTTCCGGAAATACTTCGGAATACAATTAGAAAAGATAATCTTCTTAAACTGGCTGGCACAAGTATGATATTTGCGCAACTTGATCAACTATGAACCTCCGACTGAATTCGTAAATTCATCTATCTTTGACCTTCAGTCAGCATCACGTGGTTTATTCGCCAACAAAGCCGACAAGTTCCATTGGTAGCTCAATTCATTCTCATAAAATATACGTTAAATTGTTTATATCCCAATGAGTCCATCACTTACGAGAGCACCTCCTTGACGTTGATGGATAGAAGAGGAAATGACTTGTATTGTATAAACTTCGGTTGCATTTTTAGAGATATTCTTCAGTCAATGGTTTTCGCAATCCTCCTCCCACACCCATTCAGCAGAATCTACAGATAGAATGTAATTCCATTTGGATGCTTAATTAGATAATAAAATTAACCGCATCCCTCTGCAGTCCATAATGGAGCATCATCACACATCGATGTTTACAATTAACCAGAAAACCACTGATCCAGAAGAAGACTTCTGCAGAAAGCGTAATTGTCTGCCACACGGAAGCACCGCAGGAGCTTTCCGTGCAAACAACTAGTCGCTTTTAAATTCACATAATTTCTGTACGGCCATCTTAAAGGGTTAAAGCAGTTGTTGAAACTTTATGTATTATTTCTTGGATGAATAAACTCCGTTAGAGGCAATCACCTTTGGTCGTCACGTTTCTGTTAGTGTTTGCATTTGTAATTTTCAATCATAATTTATTGTGATGGACACCTTACTACATTCGATCTATTCTTTCATCTGCAAAATGCTGCCCTATTGTGGAACCTGATGAATATTTCTAAACAAACGTTCCCTGTGTTGATATCTTAACAGTAGTTTTGTAGTGCAGTGTTGCATTCTTGTTATGTCAATCAGATACTTTAGGTGCCCAGACCACAACACCTTTGTCCTGTGAACTAGTCTTCTCAGGCAACATCCAACCTCCTATCAGACACAGTTCACTTTTGTTTGGCCGTCAAATTTATTGTGGTGATTTGTCAACATTCCTAGTAACTGTTAGGGATATACGTGGACAAAGTGGGAAAGTTTGCTTACCAAATTCTGTCACAGTGACACTCCTGAATAGCACATCTAAACCTATAAAAATAATGTTGTAAGCCCATTTTCCAAAGTGGATTACTTGCTGCAGGTATGAGCAAAGTCAATTGTGGCCAAAGTTTCTTTAAAATAATGTACATTTGCGAACTGCGAGTTTTGTGCATTGTGGGTCAGGGTTGGTCGATCCGGCATCGATGTGAACACTAACATAAACCTTCTTTTTTGAATTTTCCTTTCGGAGGATGTAACAGTATTGTAAGGTTAAACTTAATCTCCATATCAGGTACATAATGGATGAGACCCTGATTGTACAACAACCAAATATGCTTTTCTGTCAATTATTGATGAGGCGCCACTCTTAGCTTAGATTAAACAGGAAACAGTTGCCGATAAGGCTGAAACAGGTTATCGTGTGGTATTTCTATACCAAGGGCCTAGTTTCCGAATCCGAACCCATGTGGTTGCCACCTTTTCATTCTGGGATTTTAGTTCAATCGGCATTAAAATCCTGCTTGGTAGTTTTGTTCTGAATACGAGGGGCAGGAAAAATACAATCGCGTGCGTGCTGAAGATTATATCTTACAAAAACAGTGGTTCGCGTGACAAGATTACCACATTTAAAATTCGATGTTTTGTGTGGTGTATTTTTGTCCCACATACGTCAAAAACATAGAGAACATAAATACTTAACTTTAAGCGAGGATATTTTGAATAGCTTCCGAAAACGCTTCGTCTTGGGTTAACTTTGAACAGGGCATTACTTTTTACACTGAGTTCCGAGCAGTTTCCGTAAAACGCTTTTTGTTTTTTTTTAAAAAACGGCGTTACTTTTCAAGCTAAGTTTAATAAATTTGTCGATAAAGTTACTAACTCAGTCCCGTATACCGGGGCTTAGATGAGCGTTTACCTGAAAAAACGACGAAAAAAATGGACCGATAAACATGGTTTCTCCAAAGAAATTCTCGTCACGCAACATACGAAAAATACCCGGAAACACGTGAAACAAACGTAATTACCCGAGGGTTAATGAAACAGCGCAGTTCAGAAGCTGATTTTTTTGGCAATCTGTTACATACATCTGTTACATCTGTTACGAACATCAGTTAGGCGAACACTCTTAAGACAAAATGTCCGTCCTCCGGCTACTCTGTTTCTTTGATCGCCATCTTAGTTAAAACAGTTCAATCATCATTCATTTTGTCAGCTGTTTTCAATAATACTGTCTAAGAGCTACATTTCGTCTTTCAAACTGGATGCATCACACCTCTAGAACAAGTTCGCCTGTAAGTAATGCACAACCTAAATTGATTTTAATAACCTTGATGAAGTAATTTGTCTCCTAACAGCTAGCTATCCTTCCTGTGAGTCCCTGTCCACAAGAAAATATGAAACTTGCGTTATATAAAAACTGAATAGCTGATAAGCTCTTCCGGCCAATTCACCTTCGGCGTTCAATAACCTCTGTATCCTCTTGAATATATGACATTATCACCAGAACTGTTCGTGTGACCCTTCATTCAGTGAAACACCCATCCTAGACGGCGATTTCCATATATAACCCGCATCATGGCCCAGCTCTGCCTCTAATCCAGTCAATAAGTGTAGCCCTTCTTATACGCTTTGGCAAAACGAACCAACAGTCCGACACATCCACAAGACCTCCGATCAAACAAAGCTGTCCAATAGATACAGCTCTGCCGTTTGATCGAAATGAAGAGAAAATGCTTAACTAACCGACCCCAACGACCTATTCACTATTCACCAATGCCCGGTTTCTGTTCACTTCTCGTCGCATTCGCACACGTGAGGGTCGCAATCTCAAGCCAGTTGTTGCGTTCAGGATAACTTAAAAATTCTCCAACATCTTTTAGTATCCTGATTCGCAGTGTAGCTTAACTGAATGCAAGCAGACTGAACAAGAGCGATGGGCACGCCTTTTGAAGACTCAAACACTCGACGAATGGTCAACCAAGAACAGTAATGTACCTCAACGCTGTTCAATCTTGATATCAGATGACTAAAGCAAAAATGAAAAGTTTAAAGTCGGAACAGAACGTTCGGAACGTTTTAGAAGTCGTGAACAGCCTTTTTCAGGGATTTTTTTATTGTTTACGGACCAAATGAAGCTTTATTCGGGCCCGCTAGTTTATGCGTTCCTAAGATCACTTGACAATCAAATGCGGTCATCATGTTTGGGCGTACTGGCTCTGTGTACCTTTAGCATGATTTGCCTCCTTTTGGTTTTGCATCCGCAATGATTTTTAACTGCTGTAATTACAGGTTGACATTCGACCACCAAATCCTTCAAGGTTTGCAATAAGTTCAAGCCGGGTAGACTAGATGCTGGGTCGGATTTGTGTTTGTCTCCATTGCTTCAGCAAATGCCCGCTCCGACTGGAGTGTGTGTAACAACTGAATTTGCTTGTACCTCGTCATTCTCAGGCGCAACTGCCCGGCTGTCTAGGATATCCATTTGGCTAGGTATTCTGCACCAGGACTTTTGGTACACACAGCTTGTGTGGGGTCTGGATCCGACTTGAGGTTCTTAGCCCCTACAGGATACTGCTATACAGTGTCATCATTCCAGAAGAACTTTTCAGTATGAAATAACAGAGGTATCTTCTCGATGGTTTAATCTCTACACAGTATTCCATTTTCGACCAACGAGTCTTTGTCTCCTGATACACATTTCGAGGAAGAGTACTTGCCAATTCTTGATTAATTAGCTCTACGGAGTAGCCATACGCTATAGTACCCTGCTGCGTAATTTCAGTTTACCGGTCTGTATGGGTTTACTGAGTTTACCCCCTGGACATGATTCACTGCTTACCCATTCACTGTGTTTGGTATGTGAGGATGCAGGCGGCCGTTGAGTTATGTGGGTTTTCTCTATTCCATGCGGGGATCCGTGTATGGCTGAAAGCACACCCTACGGACTGGGAAACTTATAGTTCTTTGTTTGCCCTCAGCTTTCAGCATGTAATTTATAATACTAAATTGAAAATCCAACTTGTTTAAGAAGGCTGGCTGTTTTGTGGCTGGTATAATTACAACCTATTCATCTAAGTATCTAAGTCAGTGGCGCGGTGCATAAACGAAACTATCTAAGGCTCCTGTTTCAACCCTATGCAGGAAAATGATAGCCAGTGTGGGTGATTGAGGCGAGTCCACAGCGACAGTGTTGGTTTATCTTTAGAGTATGTTTTAAAAAGTGAACTAAGTGGCGGTTATAAACTCTTCCGCGCAATCTATAATGTTAATAGGGAGAAAGGGTATTGTCTCCGCTAGAAACAAATCATCACACAAAATGTAGGATGTAAACTTTGATAAGTCGTTAATTGTTACATTAGTAAAAAGAGCTGTTACGTCAAATCTGACTGCTACTTCGTCATCATTGATACAGGAAGACTGGAGAAAACTAACAAAGTTGAATGAGACTTTCACGTGACCTACAACTGGCAGAGTAAAACTTTCCTTAAAACCTGAGACACACTCCAAATTTCATGATATCGATTCCTGCGACAGGAGAAGTAAAAAACGTGAACTTTTCATGATATCCTGCGACAGGAGAAGTAAAAAACGTGAACTTTCTAGCAAGTGAACGGAGATAACATAGTGAGAATTTGCAGATAATAAAACAGAAATATTTTCCGCTTGAAATGTGTGTTTGGGCCAAGGTTTGCCATACGTGCAATATGCTATCATGTTCGACAGCCCACTGGTCTTCGAACAAAGAGATAGCTGTTATACCAATATGTCAACTTAAAAATGCTCTAAAAATTTCAAGAACGACGTAATCACATTTAGATAACAATCCATTCCACTCGAGCGAGACATGCCGTTGAGCACGGGGAAATACCGGATGACAAGCAACGAGATAGCATGTCACGATAAGTGGTATGGGAGCAGATCAGGTTTAGCTTAGATTCGATAGCCGTTTCAGTGTTCTCTGTGCAAATGAGACTGGTGCAAACTTGGTGCAAGATACGCCATTCTAAATGAGATATTGCTAACCCAATCAAAATATAAGTGAATTCAATTTGTTCACTGTGTTTTGCGATAGAAGATGTCCAGTTTATTGATCTACACCTTTCAGTGGGGAACTTTATTCCACCGTTCTCACATGATATGCGTTGCCAAAATCCTGTTTGCTTTGGAGCTTGTGTGTTGCCCAACCAAATGCCTTCTTGGTGGTACCTTTGACATTAATGACGGCGCTGTAACTTTGCTATAAGTAGAAAAATGCGAAGATTCAGTTCTCAACAAACCGTTGACGGGTTTGGTATGTAAATTTCCATTAGTATACTCGACAACTCACCTTTGTACGTGATTTGACATGATTTGTTTCCGGGAAACCGTGTTAAAAGAGTAGGAAATGTAAATAGTCATGGAATTCTAGTGGTAAGAATGATCCAGAAACTTTTATTGATCTGTGGACATGAATTCTTGTGAGGCCAATTTGTATCCCACTTCATGTGTCTTACACAATGGTGTTTCAAAAGTGATCCAGATGTTCTTGGTTGTAAGAGTGCTCCCTCGTATACACTTGCTGTTCACATGCGTGTAATCAACTCATATGTTTCTTTGGATGTTTCAACCGAAACATGACATTAACCTATGCTTGTAAGCCGTTTGGTTTCGCTGAATGCTGTTCGCTCTGTGAATCTAGCGAATTTTGTGCCCACAATCTTCCAACTAACTGCTGCATTCAGCTACGAGTGACTGAGCAGCAAAGTGACAGTGTCGAACTTTTCAGTTCAACAATTCATTTCACCTGAAATTGTTCTTTAACTGACAAATCGTCAAATGAGAAGCACATACGACCAGTGAATCGGCTTTTTTCTTGGCGGATTGCCTACAGTTTTTTGTGGTGGCCTTACTTATCCGACAAGCGTATTTCAGAACCAATATTAAGGGGGAAGCCCTTTCCATTTGAAGTGCACTAGATAATTTTTTTCAAAAGACGTTTTCAAAGTAAGGAATAAATAAAGAAATTGACGAGCGGGAACGCCCATTTTGTTTCATTTCCTCAGGAAATTAACGTAATTACCACAGTCACCTGATAAGTTAGTCAAATATTGTGAACAGTATGAATTTACTTCTTTAGCCGTGACAGAGTGGGACGTGAGAATGCTTTGTCTAAAGAAACTGAAAAGGCGACTACACTACCACACACACTACAGATCCGGCCAACTGAGCACGTTTAAAGTTTTTGGATGCAAAAAGCTATCGCGTCAACCGATGAAATTCTAACAGGCCTGACCGTTGGAAGCATCAAAAGCCTGTCTTTTGCGAGAGTTTGGGTTAACCTTAAGTAGACACATGTAAACTTGTGGTCCCTAATGAAAACAGTTTATTTTGCCTGCGAAGCGACTGCATTTTCCCCGATTATGTTATTATGTGGCGCGATACTGTGCAATATATGTTGGGGAAAACCGCTTCTATGGACGTGGTTGATTGGTGGAGCTAGATTAGCAACCCATCATTTGCTTCTAAGGGAATGAAGTCAGCTGACGTGGACTCATACTGAAACAGTATAACTTGATTTAAAGATGTACTCGTTGAATAAAAGTGCCTAGATGTTAGTGGGCGACATATTGTTTTGTTCACTAGCTACCTTATGTGAGAAAAAATCATTATTTCAGAAAATGTACGAGCACTGATCAGTCGACACTGAAACCTTCTGAGAGTAGCCTCCGCTCTTTATGATTTCCGGGAGAACTCAAAATTTTGATATGTTGCAATTTACAGTGGTAGATTTTGAACGGAGCAGAAGTGCTGCGTGAATATTTGGGGCCACATGTTGAAATACTTTGTACTGAGGAAGAAAATGGAAGTCAAATCTGTCTGGTTCAGAGTATTCAGACATTGTATTCTACGCTCGCATCACCACCTCTGTCTGAATGATCGTAATATTTTGAGTGATATGTTGCGCGACTAAATGGTTGTTCTAAATCCGTTGATGAATGGTCATAGGATGTGTCCACTTACATTGGCATACATTCCTAAAATTGGGGATGCCCACCAAATATCACCAATCCGTAAGCGTTTTTTCTGACCAAATCAAAAGCAATACCTACCATATCCCAAAGAATTTAGCCCATCAGGTCGGGGCACATACGTCCAATTACTGCCTTCTTCTTGAGAATTTGATGCAGTTCTTAAAATATCAACGTTTAAATCAAACCGCTTTACACAGGTTTCAGATAGAATTCGCTGAGAAGTCGGGGCAACATTTATGAAAAAATCTAGGAGAGTGCTGTGCCCACAATCAAAAATAAAAGCAGTACCATTATATTGAGTTTGAGGAAAATTACGGAGATTTAGTGGCTACTGTGAATTTTCAGTGTTCGTGCAGAAGGCTTAATCCTCCAGTCGGTTACGAGGAAATCACACCACAAGCACAGTTTTAGTGACGCAAATGCGGACTACTGTGAAACACTATTGATTTCGAACGGTAAAACAAATTTCCGGAACATTTCACTTTAAATGCATTAATTTTTATCATATAGCTTGTGAGCAAACATTTCGCTTTAACCCATGTTTGAAAATTAGTTTTTAACACCCACATTATCCGGAAAATGCTCAAGGCTGTGTTATCCGTTTCGTATACTTGGGTAAACAGTCAATAAATTTAACCTGTACAATATATTGGAATTAACTGTATATGCTTGAGTGAACAAATTGGCACCAAAAGCACAAATTTTAGATGGACTAATGATCAGAATTTATTTCATTGTAGTTGCAGTCTGCTGCTAGTAATATATTTTAAACGGAACAAGTTGGTATTCCTTCTAATTTTGCACCATTTATAGTGTTTTGTGCAAGTCTTTTGATGCATTATCCAAAAGGCCTTGAAAACACTTGCTAACATTTTTATTTTGCAGGTACAAAGGTTACATTTGGGAAACAAATTTCTGATGAGGTGAGTTAGTTTGTCCAATGTAATCAGCAGCTTTCCTTGTGGACATTTATAGGTTTCTGATTTACTATTGTGTCATTCCTAAATGGTGAACTATCTCTTAGGTTCGCTTGCTGTTTTTATGTACAGATTGTTTATGCACTCTGTTAATCCTGGTATAAAGCACTATAAGTAAAAAGCAAAGTCGGTTTATATGTCAATGACTCGGAAGATTGTTCAATTTCAGTCGGAACTTCCAAATTCGCTTAATGACAATGCATTTGTCTTTCAACTTTGCACGTAAATAAGAAATATATTTCAGTGCTTTGTTTTCACAGAATCATAAGAGCAGCATGCTAATTCTATTGGAAAAAAGCAGATGTGTGACCCCTCTCTTCCAAGATTTTAACAGACTGCGTTTCACCTCAGCATAATGAAAGATTTTACCTTTGTGGAGAAGTCAACCTACAGCTTTTTTGAGTTTACAAGCAAGGTCATCACCCCATCTCTCTGTAGCCACGGTAGAATAAAGTAAAGTTTACTGATTAGTGAGTCACAGGCAGTGGTTTAAAAAATCCCTGCAAACATTCGTATTAACATGTGAGCCAGTAGGCACAGAGAGGGATGTTGTTTCTTCCCAAAAGAAAGGTGAAATTGTATATAAAAGCCAAAATCCAGTCACCAAGCCTCTTTGGACCAAAGTCTGGGATAACACGGACTGGATGCCCGATAAAAAAGGCACAGACAAGAAATGCAAAACTGACGCCAGCATGATTGTTTCTTTTCTTGCAACTCGGAATTCGAGGTTAGATCTCAGGTAATGTCACCTTTGGTTAATCCTGTCAAATCATATTTAGCTGCAAAGCCAGCCAAGAATGAATACTCTACCTAATGGAAGGAACTCTTTTAAATCTTTCGCTTTTTTCTCCGGACCAATGCCTTTGTTTAGTTACATTATAAATTACAATTCATAGGACAATTGATTCATAGATGTTGTCAAATTTTCACAAGTGACCCGGAGTTAACATAGGATGCACATCAATTTGCAATATTTATTGGGCCAGTTTCTGGCCCACTTTTAAACATTTTCAGTCAGACGTAAATCTCACCAATAGGTGATGCTTGCGGAATAAGCTGAACAATACTCCCATCGAAGGTACCGTCTCCACCCAATAATGGCCGAATGGTGACACTGTACTGAAGTTCATCTGTATCATCTTATGTGTTTTCTGCATACTTTTGGGTTGACATCTTGCGAAAAAAGTCAAGCTTCTTGAAAGTAGCCTTTGGTAAATATGAATTTAATTAACAACAACTTAAACAATTATTATTCAATAAATTTACATGCGAGTTTGCAAAAAATAATAAAATAAAAGGGTCACTTCCCGGTACTAGCCTACGTGATGGGTCCTCGATTGGTGTGGTTTTTTTATCCTTATGTTGCCACACTACCCAAGGATTATTATAAGGGATAACTTATTTAGCAAATCAGAGCTCCTCTTTGGGTTGCCCATAAGCTTTCACTTTACTCTCCCACATAATGGCCAAAACTATTTTCCGTATGAAAACTGTCACTGTAACCCGGTGACACAGATAAAACGTCAAAGCGCGCCTAAAAACAGTGTCAAACGAAATAAACAGCGTGGTTTAATTAAAGAGTATTGTTCACGGGACCAAGATATTAAATAAGTTTATATAATTGAATTTCGTTTGCTCCTATCGATGGTAACAAAGGGATTATCATTTTAAAGCGTCTGAGTGTAAAAAATGAAACCGTTTTGATAAATCTATCTCGTATAGTTTGGGTGACAGAATAAATTGTCCAACGATGGATCAGAACCAAAAACCTCAAAAGTGAGATTTTCAAATCAGCGCCAACTGATTGAAATTACTAACACACTTTTGCTTTCCAATGCATAGCACTAATTATGTAGGAGCAGCTAAGGCCGTATTTAATACGAGCCACTGGCCGAAGATTTTGGGTGCAACAACCGCGTCGAGGAACAAGGACGAATGTGCTTGTGAGTTGCAAAAATAATAACTCTTCTGGCTATTTCAGTTACGCCTAATCGTGGGCCGAACACTGGCATCAAGTGTTATCCCGCTTTATGTCTGAAGACAGAATATAATGTTCCGTTCACTCATGAGGAGATACAAAGCTGTATTGTAAAATCCATTCCTAATGAACTAGGTGAGGTAAGAAAATGAGACAATGTTGGATGCCACGAAGATTTCAGATGAACCATCGATCAACTGCGTCGACAATAAATAGACAGAAGTAAATAAACAGATGTAAGAGCGTTTTATTCCGTTTAATATCACAGTGAGTTTTCCATGAGATAACATTCGCAAATTTCTGGTGTTGGTCGTTGCGAGATTTTGCAGAATGCACACTCACATGACCCTGAATTAATCGTTCTGGTGAGTCCACACCAGAGTCCATACCGTCCTCGAGTTTCCCTCTTGTTACAGCTCATTAACTGTGCATTTGCTTGGCCTTGCCGGAGTTTGAACTCCGCGCATTTAGCATACAAGGCGGGAGTGTTACCACTACTTCACCAGCACATGCTGGTCTCATTTGAAGTTTCACGTCTGAACAGGTGAAAATTTGCGCGCACGAATGATGTGAGCGGAAAGCCCGAACCCTCAAACGACAACCCAGTAACACCTTAATTCTGTTGATCGACTGGCCCACCAATCAGGACACCTTAGTCAGTTAGTGCCAAAGACGCTTGGTGAGCTCTAATGAGAGCGATACTTGAGTCGAATGGTTCCCCCATTTTGTGGACCCACCAGCGTGATCGCGCCAGGACAGAAGAAGGATTGTTCAAACGAGACAAATATTTCGTCATCTTACAACTGTGCTTGTTTTGTAAACTATGTTCCGATCACAAAAGCATAAAATATTCTTGTTTCTGATACGACATTTGTCAGTCTGTTCATTTCCACTTCCATTTTTAACAACCTAATCTAATTTTCTCACAACCGCAACGATATTTAACTGCATTTTGGTGGTCAAAATATGAGGGAATAACCTTTTATCCATATTCAAAGAAAAGGCGTACCTGTTGGATGTCACTGAGTAGCGAATTGCTTTAATCAACACAAGGTATCAATAAATGCCAAAGCATACTTTCTGCAGAGCTACCGAGGAAAGCCTCCAAAACAGGACAAATCCTGCGCCATTTTATCAATTTGTTTGAACTTCATACTCAAGTGTAGGGAGACCAGCGTTCCACCAGCCAATCCTGAGGCATCTCTTCTTCCATTTCTCGTTCAGTTGGTAGGGCTTTATTTACCAAGTCCGATTACCTCATTGCTCTGTACTTCATACAGGAAACCGGGCAGAAGAAGTCCCACCGGACGATTACGAGTAGAAAAAAATTAAAAGCCTTACATGAAAGCTCCTGAAAAGACCACTTGAAGCGATCGAAACTGTGTTATCATATGAGTCATACAGAAAAATAATTATACCAATTCATTAGGAAAGTCAAAAGATTCTTGCTTTTAAAAAAATTACTCCGTTTTTAATTCTGGCTACGAATCTGTATTTTCAAAAAACCCACTGTGCTGAGAAAATAAAAGTACGTAATTTTCCCGGATTGTGCTTTCTTGAATCAGCCTTATTCTGTTTTTTTATCAATATTCTCTCAACTTTCATGCCTCATATATACCCTTTTCCCTTGAGTTCTTGTCTGAATAAATATGATGCAGAAATTCCAGTGCATTTCGGGATAAAAAACGTTCTCTCGAACAATCCCTAGCCTGTGGTATCAAGCGCCATTTGATCACTTGGTCTGTACTCTGCTAATGTTGCTGTTTTTTGCCTCGTATCTCCCCTTATTACGAGATGTGTGCCCATATTACCCGAAAGCAGCCCACGTATAAAAAACTAACTGTCATTTCCAGTAAAATTCCGCCGAATATCTTCTATCAACTCCAGTTACTTACAATGTATTTGCATCCATAGCCTTATGTGGAATTGACATTGGTGGTAAGCGACCCAAGTAGTTGTTGGGATTCACTTCATTAAGTTCCCCACTTTTATTACTGACTTGGATTTTGGGACTACCCTAATGTTGTTTACTGTCAATTGTCTTTGATTTACAGTTAATATTCTGAGTTAGATACGCATCATGTGTATTTTAGTTGGGTATATATCCACGCACGGTGCTCGGTAACACTCAGATCATTCCACACTGTTAAGTGAACACCAGCACCAGAAGTTACTTCACGTGACTTGACAATAAGAGTTCATCAGCGCACGCCGATGGCCTTAGAACTGCCCTCTGGCCCTTTCCTAGCAAATTTACACTGCACCGCGGAGGTGGCTAAGCAAAAACCGCACTTCAGTCCCTCTGTGGGGATCATGCGGTAGTTGTGTATGTTAGGAAGGACGGTAAACGCATGTTAGCCCTATCGGAATTTTGTCAAGAGTCTTCCCAAGCTGATTGAGTAAAGCATAGTCCAACATAAATTTTATTGGAAACTTTAGACTGTTTCGTTAGACTTATTCTCGAGATCGCTTCTTAGATAAGGACACTGATGTTATTTCTCTGTGTTTTTTTTAGAAATAGAAGCATCATAAGCTTAGCCATTTATCAAATGACGGCTTCGTACAATTTCGTTGCTTCACAAATCATTAATATTCTTGTCGGATTCCGGTTTGGCGAACGGGATTGGAAACGCAGGCAGATAAAGATTATTGTCATTTGTCCAACCCACACCAAAAATCCAAGTACCGGATGTCTCATTTTACTCCACGAAAGTTATTTTGACGACCCCAGACTGTAGTTCACCCAAACAGCTTGTCAGATGTCAATCCAGTTTTACGGAAAAAGTAAGAATAAGTCCAAGGTTGTCTTTTGCAAAGCACGATGCTGCCGGTCACGCAAGCTAAGCTATTTCCGACAATAGTGTTCCAAGTCAGACACCGAAACGGAATTGCCGCGGTCCCAAACTCACTGTCCATGCTTTGATGGTCTAATTTTTGGACATGTAAAATGTTTTTCCCATAGTGTATG